GAAGTAAAGGACAATGGGGGACACCTGGGAAAAAGCCTGAGAGAAGAACTGAAGCCAGAGAACAAAAGTTAAAAACCACACATAAAGTTTACATTGATTTTTTTTAAAAGCCACATATAAGAAAGATGAGATATATATACTTTGTATGCTACAAGCAGCACACTCTCACAGCAGATATGATCAGTGTTCCACACAGACCAGCATGTTGCTCCAGCATTGGCCAATTTAGCAGAAGGGGGAGAATAAAAAAAAATTTTAAAAAAAAAGAGAGAAAGGGAAAAAAAAAAACACCAAACCAAAAAAGGACTTCACAACACATTTACAGAAGTCTGAAACTAGAATAAAAAGGAGGCTTCCACTTCCCAGCCCCCAATTCCAGCTGTAATCCTTTGACACCTTAAAAGCAATGACAGAGTGCTTTCTCTAGGGACCTGAGACCCTACCAAGCATTTACAAACCGATGCTTTTCCAAGTCTTACAACGTGGCCAAATTTGGACATTTTTCATAAGAAGAGCAAAAGCCACATTCTTGATTTAAAGTTAACTCTCCAGCCAAATTTCCATCTCTTGCTCTAAAGCATGGAGGTGCTAGAACTTCTCAGCTTAGCAGCTGAGATTATTATTTGTTCAAAAGTGAGAAGGGAGAATTGGCCAGAAAATGGAAGAATTTAAAAAAAAAAAAAAAAAACCTACCCCCCCCCCCCCCCAACCACATGCATACATCCTAAATGACTGCCCACCTTTCCCCCTGAAACTGAGGATTAAGGCAGAGACGTATTAAAGAATGCATCGTTATAGGTCTATTATTCTTCAACTTTTCACTTTCAATCAAGACACACATTTGTAACTAAAAAACTGCTGAAAGCACAATTCCAGGGCATCCTCTGCATGTGAATTAAACTGGGGCTTTTTTTCCCCATGCCCCACTCTCCCCACCCGCCCCCAGCATAAGTAACAAGAGGCCATTTTCTGAAGGTCGTCTGAACGATTTCAAAGGCGATAACAAATCAGAATGTTCCCTGCATCTAATATCAAACAGGTCCGGTGCCAACACTTATTAGAGAAATCGGATTCAACCCCCCCTTCACCCAAACACACACACATCCAGCTTTGAAGTGGAAAGAATGCAGGGATCAGAAATTACCCGAGAGACAGCTCTGCCTGTCTTTGAAGCTTTCCTTTGATACTACTATTTCTTTTCCTCTCTTACACTAGGAGGCTAAAAGCTGCCTTTTCTTATTGATATGGGGTAATTAATGAAGCCATAGCATTAACATAACCCAAGTTCCTTAACATGATAATTCAACAGGGACACTTATATTTCTTTAGTTAAGTCTAACGGATGCAAAAATAGGAATTTGGCTAGGCAGCAGTGTTAAGTACCCACTCTAAATACGCCCTGTCAAGGTAGTTCTTGGTCTCTGCATCCAAAGAAAAGCAGGGTATTACTATGCCAAAAAATCCCGACACGTTTTTATTTTTATTGGCAGACGAGGGCTACTAATGGCTCAGCTGACAATAAGCCTGCCCTGCAAAGGTGAGCCGCATAGCTTCATTTATTCAGGAATCAGGACAATACTAGTAATTAATTACTATCCATGGTTAAATTCCAGTGCACAATGAGTATGTCAGAGTTTGAAATTAAGGGTGGCACGGTGCCATCACTAAAACCACGGGGCTAATTAAAATGCATCATTATCTTGGTGGATGCAATGGGTTAGTACGGTAAGCAAGAGACACTGCAGAGCGATCAGCATCCAGAACCCACGACATGACAGAGGCTGCCAGATCTCACCTATTGTTTTTGCAAAGTGTCACCAAGAATGTCTAAGTTATGCAGCTGGCAACTTGGCAAAGACATATTCTGCAGGCTTTGTGAATAATTCACGAGAGAAGTACACGAAGCACTTAAGAAATGCGATGATTCTTCGTCTGTATAAGCAAAGCTTGAAAATAAAACCCCAGAATGTAGTGTCTTATTTTACTCACTGCAAGCTTAAGACTTCTATTTTTTTTTCACCTTAATTTTGAAAGTATTTAAATCTGCATGAGGGAGTACCCAATTTAACTAGATTTCAGTACAGCAGAAACCACATGAAGCTTTCACGTAAGTACCTGTCAACCTACACAGCACAACGTACAAGCACGGAGCAAGCTAAAGCAGCCGGGATAGTGCAATGTCAGCTTTCCTGGGAAACTGCGAGTATGCCACCATGTACAGTTCTACAACTATGAGGAACGACCATGTTTGGTTTTTTTTCTAGACTTGCCTGACTAATAGACCAGAAGACTATCAACGCCTCTGCTGTTGGCACTCACCTCTTCCCTTTTTCTTCCCAGTAATGCAAAATTTGCTAAAACAGTCATACTTTCAGAGATAAATGATGACTTCCCTGATCTGGAAGCAAATCGTTGGCCTCTTCCACGCACAGTCCATTTTTCACTTAAAGAAATGGCCATTTCTTCTTTTGCTGAATACTGCTGAATAAATTTTGTTGCTCCAAACCCCGCTCTACTTGGAGAAAGCCCCCCACTGAATTTCACTTTTGTTACTTAAAGGACCTCCTGGCTTGTGCAGTTAGGAGGATGACTCAACAGACCCTCGTTCAACTATTTAAGTGTAAAGAAGCACAAGGACTTATCCAGTGTCCCTTCTTCAACATGCCTTACAGAAAAGGCAGGAGCTTCACAGCTGCCATATTGTATGATACCACCTAGTTAATCTTACCGCTGCTGTTTACAAATATTAAATGCTTCCTAGGAATACATAAGCAAACCCTCAAATTAGCAATTACTCTGTAAACTGCTCACTGGAAAAACGATCACCTCCCACTGTGATCCTGAGGGTTCTCTGTATTTTTGTTATTTGATAAAGAAGATACTCGCTGATCTTCTCCTTTTTTCATACTCTTCTGTGTCTCTTCTGAATGCTAGTGCATTTTTTCCCCCATCAGGCTAGAAACTGAGAAGCTAGAATAGTACAGTGAAACCTCACTGGAGTACTTTCCCAACAGCATCTGTTGTGACAGAGAAGGAATTGGAATGGACTATGTTTGCAATTGACTGTAATCGCTCATTCCCAGCAGGCACAATAAGTAAAACGAATCATTGCAAGAGCACAATCTTATTCTTATTCTCCAATTACCAGCGTAGTTAATTAGTGAAAAAGAGGGAGCTCACTGTTTGTCAATATGCGCTCCAGTTGGCAAAACTAGCAAGCTACACATTTATTCAATCTTCCAAGCCAAATTTACTCGTGATTTAAGTGGCTGCAACTCCAATTCTACTTAAGTCAAATGAAATGTTCCTATTTATACCTAAAACGCAGACCTTCAGGTTTGTGAAAGCCATGGGATGGCCCAGTGGAATAGCAAACTGCCACGTAAAGGTCACAGGTTCATGCAGCCTTGTTGGAGCAGCCACATAGCCCAGCTTTGGGCACAGATAGCTAAATTGGTAGAAAACAGACTCCCCTGCAGACTGGCTTAAAGCAAGAAAATAAGCCAGGTGTTAGCACTGATGCTCCGGAGAAGCTGAACTGCTCCCCACTGACAGCAGACAAAGGTTAGTGCCCCATGCCCAAAGCTGGCCTTGGTGAGTCCTGCTCTCCTCCTCGCAGCAAACGATGACAGAGAAATGGTATGTGGCTCTCAAGAGAGTTAACCTTGAGCTAAACAGAAGCCCAACACCAGATGCTGAGTTTCAGAAAAGAACTCTTTTACTTAGCTTTTCAGCATATATAGCTTTATTATATTTCAAGGGAGCTTCAAAGGAAACTGGATTCATCAGAGAAAATGAGCACACCCAAATGAAGTGTGACACAGGAATCCATCAAACACTGTCAGTGCTCTTTAGGCAGACTATCATTTCACTTCCGAGCAGAACTTGGGGTGAAGAGGGGCTGGTGCTCGAAGTCTGTATTTATATGCTAATATACAGGGAGTATAGTGCAGCTGCTTCTACAGCAAAGTGGTATTTAAACCTGCATATTTGAATACTGCAAATCAAAATCAGGCAATTTTTATTTTACTACTTCTTAGGCCAATCCCCCGCCCTTCAAGTGAGAGTCTCTCACCTGGGAAATACAGCTGTACTATTTCCTTCAGCAGATCAGCTCCTGGCCTTTTCTAGAGAACAGAGGTTCAGACTCAGAGCTGCTGAACTATGGGTCAGCACACAACGTGCTTCTGTGCGCTAAAACACAGTTATCACTTTTGAAAGGAAAAAAAGTCTCACCTCATTATAACATGGCCTATGGGTGCCAAGTACTCATCTTGATATAATGAACTTTTTATTTTAATAGGCTTCATAATCAGAAGAGAAAGCTCCAGAGAGAAAATGTGAAACATGGAGGTATTTAGTACTGTTACTGGCAAAGGAGAGTCCTGGCGGATGCCTCTGTAAGAGAGACCATTCCACCCTGAAAAGAGAAACAGGCTGAGCTGAAGGCCGTCAGGTCCCATTAACATCTCCTGATGTGCTAAAGAGAGCCATATGGAGTGTGTGCAGTCAGACAAAATTTGAGGGTTCAAGCAGGGTGAATTGTTCATAAAAACAAATCACTCGTGGAAACAGGTAACACTTGCATTAATAGCTGCTGTTCAAGATGTGCTATTATCGACAAGCAAATTATTGAGGACTACCTACCAATGCTTCTCACAGTTGTGTTTATCAAGTCAAGCACAAAACTAGCCCAAGATTTCCCAATGGCTCTTGGAAAAGAGAAATCTGAACCTTGGGCTATTGATGTGCTGGTACACTGAAAAAACGTTTTCTCAGTAGACACTATTAACGAGGCAATGGGGGTCTAAGGTGATAAATTAGAAATTCAAGCGAGGGCTTCAGAGCTTAGAAAGCAGTCAGACATTTGGGTATGAAAAATCCAAGCAAAGAATGATAAATTTAAACTGGAGCATTCTGCAAGACATCCAGAGTCTTTTGACAGGTTTATGTTTCTAGCATACTTGTGATGGGATTCCTGTTCTCTGTCATTTAAATACCAGGTAAAAATAATATTTAATGTTGTTGGATATACAGTAACCTACCTTGCCATCCTCAGTATAGACATTTTCATTGTACCCTTTTACTATTGTCCGGTCAATGAAGAGGCTCCGCATCACCACTATCACTTTCAACACTTTTCCTAACGTAACCTGTGAAGAACAAGAGAACAAAAACAAGCTGAAGGAAAGTCACTTCACAACACCATCGAGTTAACAGCTTAAGTTGATGCAATTTCAGTTTTCAATATTTTATAGACAGACCAAAACAAAAGATCTAAAAACCAGTGTGTGTGTTATGAGGAAGAGATATAGACTATAAAGTGCAGAACAAACAATCATTTGCAACTGAAAATGTATGAATTTGCAGAATTCCCTTGTGTAGACATGACACTGCCAAGCAACTCTCAATTTTATTAACACCACAACTCAATAACTTGCCAAAAACAATGAGCAAATGTGATTATTTTCGATGTATTTGATATTCTCCAATAGAAGTCCACTTAGAGTAAAGTAAGTTGAAAGAAGAATCAGACTCTGCTAATGCTAGCTTTTAAAAGCATGCCATGAGTTTAATGGAAAACATTTTAGGTCCAATAAAAATGTAAAATTATTTAAAAGGCAACTACAGCTAAAAAGTAAAAATGTTACATTTTCAAAGGTTTGATTTTCTTCTGTGAAAGCAGTGTAAAGAATAAAATGAGTATCATGGAAAATTATAGGGTCAGTCAGAGTATAACAACAGAAATAAGCCTAAATTATATTATTGACAAAAATGCCATAATGAAGGCATTTTAATCTAAAAATCAATTTACATTTCAAAGATGAACCTGCACTTCAATAGTTATAATGAGTGACTAACAATAATTCTGTTGTCGTGTTTTGTTATAGAGATTACAGTTTTTCCTCACCCACAAAAGCATAAAACCGAGATAAAAAAGAAACAATTACTTCATTTTAATATTTCCCAACCAGCAGCAGCTCATTTTCCATTGTCTGTTTTCCAACATTTCATCCAGTATAGATTAACACCAGCTAGAACAACTGTTTTTACTCCTAACCTCAGCAGACAAATCCACACCCAAAGAAATCACTCAATATGCATCTTTATTGATTTGCTACATGTTTCTCCTTTTTAACCCCTGCTAATGACTCCTGCCTACCACCTTGTTTCAACACGAGTAACCTCAACCTGATGCCGACTAAGAGACTAATAGGCAAACCAACTCTGAAGCGCCAAGATGCTTTCCCCTTGCAAGGAGGAAGACAGAAAATCTGGCGCAAAGACTCCATCTCAAAGGTGACCGTGCTGCTGAAGGAGGGTTAGGAGGGGAAACTGTGGTAGGAATGGGATGATCATACAGGACTTTGTAGAACAGTTACCCAAACTACTCTAAGTGCTGCTTATTATATCACTATATAGCAGGGCAGAGTTGCAAATCCTGAAAAGAACTGATGACAATTCTTCGGCATAGAACATGGAGAAAGCAACTCTAGGACAGAAAGTCTAAACAACAGGGAAGCGACAGCAAGAGAGAGGACAGGGAAACGAGAGGGGGGAAAAGAGTCCATGTGACTTCAAGAAGACAGGCTGCTAGGTATAATTTTGCAAGAACATGAAGAGAAAAATCAGGTCAGAAGAATGGGCAAGTTTTTGAAGAAAAATGTTACAGGCTGAAGTAGAGTAACTTGTACCAAGGCCTGGGTTCACATACCATGAGCAGACTTGTCTGGTTCCTGCCTTCTCACAAGAGATCGGGATTTTCTGAGCATGTATGGAACTGCCTAGTGATCTCAGGCAACCATATCATGGTATCAGGTACTATGAATTTGGGTCTAAATGTAGCATCTTGCTGGGATATTCTGTAATAAGACCTAGTTGGTCTGCAAATAAAGGAAACTGGCAGAGTTATTTCAGCACCTACCACTATATTAACTTAAAAATACAAAGTCATGACTCAGAGGTGCCCCATCTATGGTGCCAATCATCCACTAGAATCAGAAAGACAGTTTTGTCGTAACTGCTAAGATGAGGAAATGGAGTCACTTTGAAAAAAGTTGTCAGCACACTTAGAGTTAAGAGTTTTTTCTTTATTTTTCTACCTTAGTAAGACTGGCACTTTGTTAGGATATAGGTATACTGAGCAATCTGACTCTTGTAACTTCACACTAGGCATCACCATATATAGTAAAATTAAAAGGAGGAAAAGAAGACATTTTAAACAGAAAAGAAAAGAAATCTTCTTAATGGAGGAGCAAAAAGGCTGCCCTACAAACACCCAGACCCAGCTTTATGTGTATTTTCTAGCTTCATTGCCTTCACACACTTTAGTGGATGCTCACTTCTTTCCTCTTCCTTTACGTTCTGCATTTGTGGTATCTCACATTGCTGCTGGGTGGAAAAAAAACTGGATGAAGTTGATCTGAAGCCTGTGTGGGATGTTCCTGAAAATTCTCAGAGTGAACAGTGGAACGTAACAAGCTGAAAAATCCCATGTTTGGCACTCCAGCTTGCTTAAATATACTTATTGCTGGCCTCAAACCTCCCCACAAGAATTACCTGAGCATATGCTTTCAAAATGCTTCTGCATTAGCTCATTGGCTTTTCCCAGGTCATCTGGTTTCACCCTTCCAATGATTCACTCCACACTTTCAGAATCTGTCACAGCTACCCAGACCCCAGCTATCATCCATCGTGCAATACTGAAAGGTCAAATTCTGCAGACTGGTCCGGCACATCAGCCTCAATCATCCACTTGCTTGAAAATTGAACAAACAGGGTTACGCTGTCGCCCACATGTGTAAGGAGCTGTGTAAAACCATCCTTAGATGGGTACCTAAGACTATGAGCTCCCCGAGCAAAGCACTACTGTTGCAATCTCAACTTAGACAACCATTTGTGCAATGGGGGTCCTCTCTGGGAGGAGGGGCACCAGGGCGTCACAGTAATACAAATGAATGATCAAATATGTTGCAACTTTGGCCAGGTTAGTGCTAAGTTGTCTGAATTAGCTCTTACAGCGCTCAACAGCTCTTACTGTTGTTTTGACGTTGGATTCCTGTACATCTTACACTGGCTGGGAGAGAGATCAGGACTTTCAGATGATTTTTGCAGGACCATATCATTAGTTAAGTCTGACAGAAGCAGAAATTGTATAAAACTAAGCGTAGCTCAAAGAAATTATAGTTCATCATTTTAACAGCATTGAAAGAATGAGGCTAGTAGTACAAAGAAAGAACAACAGCCTGTCACTAGACTGAAGGATGCTGTTAGATTTGGAAGCCAAAAGTATGCTCCACAGCTATTTTCAGGGTAAACCACATTCCATATTGTACACAACAAATGGGATACCCTTTATTTTTTCCCCTCTAATAATCAAGACTTGTAACCGTTTTCAGGATTTAATGTTTCTGTTCACCTCAACCGTATTTTACAATCATGCTTTCTAGCAAACCATTTTCTTTCAATGCCTGCTCAAGTTAGCTAACTGGAGTCCATGTTCAGAAAAGATCCATGTATGGAATATAATTTACACCTATAGTCATACAACTGTGTCCCTACAGATCACCTGAAAGAATGTAATAAAAAACTAATGGCTCTGGTAAAAAAGTAATTTGATAGTTCTACTCTAAGCTCTAGCAATGCAGGTCTCTCTCTCTGCAGGTCAAGACTCACCCAGATGGTCCCTATTTAATGGGCACTAAAATGTCCCTGCATTTCCACAGATACCAACCGAAAGAAACTTCTTTCATTATACAGAAAAGATACCTTTCAATTGTGACAAAAAGGCAACAATTTCCTTTCTAAGCCAACTTTTCCTATTAAATCTCAACAAATTCTGTCGATATTCTGTTAAGACGCCACTTGGCTTTTTAATATTTCGCCTGAAGGATATATGCCAGCTCGTCCTTGATGTAGAAAATTTTAATTCAAATCAATACATGTACAAGGTCACTTTAAAATTCAATTAATATGAATGAAAAAATATGCCCCACAGTTCTGTGAGCTGAAAATGGAACAGTTGCAAGTTAAATACTTCTGTACCTTCTGTTTTGGTCTGTGTAATAACAATGTACTTCTAACTTCCTTTTAACTAAAGTATACTAAATTCAGACAGTTAAGTTATTCATAAATCCCCTGCTTCCTAAAATGGCAAGCTCCAGAAGAAGGTAGGACAGGCAGCTGATTGAAATCTGCAATATTATGCAGCTTTTCTGACAAAGATAGATAAAATAAAAAACTTCTTGAAATATCCAAGTTTTAAAAATATTTTGTCTATCACCAAGATAATTCTCAAAGAGCATATGACAGACACTGTGTGCCAAGAAAGGGGGAGGAGGAAATAGAATAATCAGTGAGAATGGCTTAGATAATTTCTTGTAAGACTGCTAAAAAAGTTCCCATTTAATATCACTTATGATTGGAAAAGAAATAAGTACCTGTCCAACTAAGGCAGAATTGGGGTCAAAATTAGTTTATGAAATGAAAAGGATCAGAATTAATTTACCATGCCAGAATTCTGCTGGGAGGAAACAACTTGAAATCCCCCCCGTTTGCATCCTCACCAAAACTGATAGCAAATGAAAAGGCCTTTCATAAACAACTTTTTAAAATGCATTAACAAACATTCTTTCTTCAAATGTATTTAGAAGTTTGATATTAGGAAAATGTATGCTGACAACACCAAGCTCCAACACTTTGCAAAAAATTCCCAAAGCTCCAGATTTCCTCTCGGCATCCCAGGGAATTTGCTGCTGATTTGAGCTGCAGATGCTCTGCAATGCAGAGCTAAAAGAAAGAAAATGTTATTTTCAGCTAACGTGGGTATCTCCCCGCTTGTATAAAAAGGAGCACAAGTTGGTATGCGTTTTTTATTCACCTTGGAAAACGCTAAGGCAACATCAAACCAGAGATGTAACCAAGCTGTGCATATTTCCAGCAAAAGGCCAGACACCTGCTCCTTGCCATATAGCCAGCCATAAGCTTGTCCTCCCACTTGTGTATCCAATCAGTACAATGCCTGGAAATCATAATATATATTTCAACTGGAAAATAAGGTTTTATATTAAAAATAAAGTAAAAAAACCTACCCAGACTTTCAATGAGATATTTTTTTTACCCCATATCTCATCTGCTGCTGGTATGAATGCTG